AGCACTTGAGGTTTTGATTTAGTGGTTATAGGAGAGATTTGTTCCCTTTCTTTAATATTCGAGTTCGATTTTTTATATGCATATCTATATTCGGGTTCGATTTTTTATATGCATATCTATTACCTCCATGATACCTTACTTGCTTATTGAACTTACATGATATTTAGTAAATTTGGAAATTAGTCATGGTACATGCAAGTTAGTTCGGACACCTCGAATTACAAAAAAAAAATATATAAAAATAAAATATCAAAACCAAGTTTTTTTAAAAGAGAGAGAGAGAGAGAGAAAAGTTTATAATTTGATTAAAAAATTTCCTAAAATAGATTTATTATATTTTTTTTCTATTTGAATAAAAATCCCTCATCATAAGTTCTAGTTTAAAATGCATATTGAATATTTCTAACAAGTAAAACTAAAAAGAAAAACTCAAGAAATTTATCTTTTATATTAGATCAATTCATATCAAGGTATTTCAAGTTGTTAAAAAAGTTTTTACATTATTTAATTCCTTATTTTTTTAATACAATTTTTTAATTAAATTATGAAATCAAAAGATACAACACAATATTTTTTTTAAATTATAAAGTAAAACCAGATTAAAAATTTAAATATTGTTTTAATTATTCTAATTATAATTTTAATCATTTTATTATTCATATAATTAATTGTTTATTTGCATATAAACAATTTATCACTAAACAATTGATTATATACTAGATTTGGTAATATTCCTATTAAAAAATATATAATTATAACAACTATGACAATACATAAATAAAACTATGATAAATGTAGATAGATTGACAAATATTGATTATAAAAAAATAATCAAAGAATTAAAATTGTAATACCATAATACTACTTATTAAATATTATTAATCTTCCACTAATACTACTTATTAAATATTATTAATCTTCACTAAATACTATGTCGTCTAGGCACATACTGCACCTGGGTTCGAGTCTTGGCGTGCACATCTGTTACCTCTGCGGTGTCTTACATGTCTATTAGGTTTGCAGGGTATTCAGTGGGCCGTGGGAATTAGTCGTAATGAAAGCAAGCTGACCCGGACACCCCATATAAATAAAAAAAATATTATTAATCTTCACCAAATACTATGTCATCTAGGCACATGTTAGAATTCTAATATGTTTTATTCTTTAATTTTTTATTTAAAACTTAGAGGCACCTTAATTTTTTATTTTTAGGTTTGCAGGGTATTCAGTGGGCCGTGGGAATTAGTCGTAATGAAAGCAAGCTGACCCGGACACCCCATATAAATAAAAAAAATATTATTAATCTTCACCAAATACTATGTCATCTAGGCACATGTTAGAATTCTAATATGTTTTATTCTTTAATTTTTTATTTAAAACTTAGAGGCACCTTAATTTTTTTTTTTTTTAAATACGTTCGAATGCTACGTGGAGACATGTCTATAAAATTATTAATGTATTGTAAAATTATTTTTCAAACAAAAAAACTAAATTATAATTAACTTAGAAATTGATGTGAGTATTTCTTGGAAAAACAATCACCACCGCCGATTTCAATCGGAGTCAAAATTGTGCAAAAGAAAGGATAAGGGAAGAGAAGAGCCGACATTGGAGACCAATTATAAGCCACCAACTCATCACTGTGCCCACCACTTTCCAACTTTATATAGATATATGCGCTGTCTATCCCTTAAAATAATGTAAAAAATAGTAGTCATAAATAACAATATAAAAAAAAAAAAGATGGTCCTTAGGGTTTCCTCCTTCTCCTCCGCTTCCTTACACGGATGCGCCTCTCTATATATATCTTCTTCAATCGCATGCACAGGAATTTGTTAAAAAGATTTAGTTCTTTCCTTTCCTTTCTCAACAAGTGATTAATGAATGAAGTGTTTGTTTTGAAACCTTTTTTAAAAAAAGGAAAGATCTGATTAAACTGTTTCAGTTTCTATCACTGAAATCGAAAAATAGTTTATAAAACTTGATTTGAAGCGAAAAAAGTATTTTAGATCTGAGATTTTTTATTGATATGAAGCGATCGAGCAAATCGAACAGGGTTTCGTGGGCACCTGGTCTTAATCTTTGTCAGGTATACCTATAATTAATTAATTAACTTTTTTTTTCCTTTTTATTTCGCAAATAGTCCAGATTTAAATATGATAGAGCAAGTTATTAATATTCATTGCTGTCAAAATATTATGATGATGATGATTTATACTGATTCAAATAGCACCGAAGTTTCCACCGTTCGATTTATAGATGTTGAAGTGGATTGAACGGCGAGAAAGGTGCCACAGAATGGCTAGCCTAACCTAGCCCCTGCCTCTGTGTGTTTTGCCCATCAATCATCAATGTTCACTTGTGTCGTTTTTATTTTTGGGACACATTTGGACCCTGATGATGCTCTCCGGCGGATATTTCAATTCCATATTCGTTCTTTGTTACTTGTTTTTCTTTTGTTTTTTTTTTATATCAACAATGATTCAAGAATAATAATAAAGGGTCTGATAGGATATTTACGCCATGAATGTTTGATTGATAAGATAACAACCCAGGAAGGAATGAAGGATATTGGATCTGATAAGAAGATGAATCCGTTTAATTGTTTTTACTAAGAGTGATGAGGTATCATCCTTTTGCAGCATTGCATTTAGAGGAAGGGAGTTGCTTGAAGGTCTAACTGAGTTCCTTTTTATGCTATTCTTTACTAATAATAAAGATTGCTATGAGTTTGGTACCGAATAAAGATTGTTTGTCCCAAATCCCTCAATTTAATGTTTTTAAAGTTGCAACTTACTAGGATTCAATAGAATAAATGAAAGGGATCAAACATGAAGAAAGCTTGCGTAATAACCAGAAAAAAAAATTAAAAAGAGTGAAGATGATAACCACCCTGATCCCAAAAACACACCAACTTGTTACAAGGAATTAAGGGAAGGACTATTCCTTGAATCATAATAACAATATAACTTTTATCAACCTTTTAATCTCAAGATGTTGCTAGCATTTCATTTTACAGTCTAAGCAATCTGCAAATTTAGCCTTAAATATGTATATGTGTGGGTACAAATAGATGGAAATTATCTGATTTGTGAATATACTAGCTCTGCTTTGGTTTTATCATATGTTTAGGTTCCCTTACTAAATGGCACATCACTTGTTTTGGTTTTTCTTAGATTTTAGTTTCATTTTTGTTCAACCATCACATTTGGAGGGCTTGTCCTTGTATATAATTTGTGATGTGGTAAAGCCTATAAGAATCAGGTTTCTTAGGCTTGTCCTTGTATATAATTTGGGATGCGGTATAGCCTATAAGAATCAGGTTTCTTAGGCTTCTCCTTGTAGACATCAGTGTTGCACCAAAATTTCTGATGCTGTCCTTATAGTTTGGAGTGCATGGGATGAGTGCACCTTAAAATCTATAATATTTGCAGGAGTAGAAGTATGAAATCTACTTTCAACATATTAATGCGGAGATATTGTGTCTCCTATCATTTGTCAATGTAGCTTGGCATCCTGTCTGGAATCCGAAGTCAAAGAGTTCTGTGAAACTGAATTATATTCTCTTCTGGATCATTAACAAAGTTAATTTGAAATTCCCGGCACTTGTGAGATGTTTAGTAGAGATGATGGAAGTATTGGAAGGTGTGGAACATTTTGAAGATGTTTTGGTTTTTCAAGTGGAACAGTCTATTTAACATTTGACTGATGATCTTCCAATTATAGCATGAGAGCATTATAATATAACAGGGAATTGATTGTCTAATGCTTGAAGTCTGCCATGTTTGTGTTTTCATAATTAAGTTCTCATTTCTAAAAGTAGCAGGAGTTGATTTGGTTGAATTGTTGAAAAAGATACCAGGCAATTGTTCTGCATTCACAATCCTGTGTACCAAGTCTTATGTGTTCGTTACCTGGCTGGTTAATTCACTTTCAAATTGTATGAGCATTGCTTATTCGCTCTGCCATAATGCCCTTGTTGGTTAGTTGTTGTCTACTTGTTGAGCATTATTTTCTAGCTCACATCAAAAATCGTTTTAAAATCAAATGGGATCCAAGTTCTTCTGTGCTGATTGATAAAATTTTGCAGTCTTCCGAATAATTTTTCCTTTCTGTATTTTGAGAAAGCCCCTAGATGATTCCCCTGTTTTGGTCACTGCAATGAAATAAGTTTGTGAACCTTACTGGATATTAACTTCTTGTTTGGATTTGCTTCTGGTGTGAAATAGGAGAGGCTGTTTGTATCTGAGGATTGTCCTTTAAAAGTTGGCGGACAAGTCCAAGATCATCTTCAGAAAAAGGCATCGTTGCTTTTGCTCCACTCGAGTGGTAAAGAACCAAATGATTTCCCCCCGGGTTTTGAAGGCAGTCACTTCTTGAATCCATGTAAAAATGATTCGTCCTGCTTTCCTAGGATTCAATGGAAGTGTCCTCCCAAAGTGAGCATATTTTTCTTTGTTAGTTTCATCTTTATTCTTGCATGAATATGAAATTTTTTTATGCATTATGTGTTTGCATCATGATGCAAAAACTTGTGTTTTTAGACTTATGTGAGGTAGAGTGGTTACAGCTGATTAAATTTTGAATCCTAACTGCTTGCTCTTTTTGTTTTTTATTTCTGAAAACAGTTTGTTTTAAGTTCCAGCTGGCATGTGACAGCTGGAGAAGAAAGCCAGGAATCACAGGCCCAAAAACTGAGGGAAATGGGAGCTCTTGAAGCATTTTATCCACGCCCTTCTGCTGTTCCTCCCAGGTAAAATTTCTTTTTCCTGTAAACCAAGATCTCAACAATCATCATATTTTTACCTAGTCTCACGCATTCTTTTCTGTATAGCCCTGTTGTTTCTTTGGACGTAGAAGATACAGATTATGATGATAGCCTCACTCCAGTCATCCCTCTCATTCCTGTTGAAGAGGACGAAGCCAAAGAATTGCCATCTGATTTGACAGAACCACTGAAAACTTCCCAGTCACCAGCATTGCCTCCGTTTTTATTGTCATCTGGAACCCTGAACTCTTCAAAATGCATCACCCCTGCTTCAAATCCACTCTTAAGTGAAAAAACAGCATTTGGAAAACCACCTAATTCACCTAATCCAGGTACTAATTTAATCGCAGCAGCTTCTGCTGCTGTTACTGCTATCATGAAAAACAAGGGGCATGGAAGCTTAATCGATACTGGTTTGCTTGTTAAAATCTTAAGTGACCCGAAAATGATCGAGGAACTTGCCGGTGGCAATCAAGCACTTCCTGTGACATCCAGGCCAGTTACTAGTTCAATGTCCCCATCATGTGAGAAACCTGATGTAGTTCCAGTACAATTTACAGCTAATGGAAATTTGCAACCCCTACCTAGTGAGGAGCAGCCATGGTCCAAGCCAACATGTCAGATTCCCATATCCTGTCCGAAACCTGCTATGCCGTTGCCATCAATGCCATCTGACGGAAGCTTGTATCTTCAACCTAATCAGATGCACCCGACATTAAGTAGAGCGTCTATGCATCAGGATACTGCTCCAGCAAGGGGGTTTGGAGTATTTTCTTCCATTCCTGTGCCCATTCCAGTGCCTAATTCAATGCTAACAACGGTAAGCACAGTGCCTAGAGAATCAATTGCAACCCAAATATCTTTCAAAGACACCGGTGCCAACCAAATGTCTAATTTGGTGCAATCCGCTCTGGTAATGAAGCCTGTCCAACCAAACAGTGTTCCTCACGCAGGTATGAAAACTAACCCTGTGAAGGATGTGGAGTACATTAAGAACCTTATAAGGGAACATGGAACAGTGAAGAAAGAAATCCAGGACCAAAGCATGCCCCATAATGGAAGGCATTACAATCAAACTCAGAACCAAGAATTGATACAAAACATAAAAAAGAGGGAATCGAAACACAAGTCTCAGAAGCCTTGCATGTACTTTAAAACTCCCAAGGGATGCCGAAATGGCTTCGATTGCCCTTTCCAGCACGACCCATCTTTCCAGTTTCAAACTGGTAGTGCTTTGGATGCCCCAGTTGCAAAGAGAATGAAATTTAGCGGGGAAATCGTTGGGAGGACCTGACGTTTTGTTGTTACTCACACGACCAGAACTGTGAATACGAGGTACTTAAACCTGTAAATTAATTTTGACTAGTCTTTCTGTAGATTTTGTGCAGGGTTAAGGCATCAATATGTTGGAAACAGTTTTGTCAAAAAAGAAAAGAAAAGAAAAGAAAATGAGATGATGGCCTAATGATTTTTTAAATGAAATACGCCTTTTCAATTTGGAGGCGGTTTTGTCGGTGGCTGTGGTAATTTTCATGGCCAGTCCCGCATTTACGGTCAGTTAGTGGACTTGTTAGACGTCCATATTCAACGATATTTAGTGCTTCTGCTAAGATGACAAAAATGTGACCGCCGGTCTCGTTTAAGAAGAGGTTAAAATCCTTGGGAAAAGTCAGGATTTGTGTCAATGGATCTTTCAGATGGAACCATATATAAAAAATATTATAATATACAAAATTTTCAGGTAAAACCTGTAAATCAAAGTTTTTATTCAAAAAACCATATCATTGATTAAAAAAATCATGGCTTTGTCAGATAAAAGGAAAAAATCCATAATAAAAAGAAAAGAGAAAATTCTGACTAAGAAATACATTTTTTATTCTAGAATTTAACTCGTTGACATTCTTTAGGTATTTCTTAAAATCATAAGAAAATTAAATAAAAATTAGTTTTGAGAATGGTGACTTGGTACCTGGTGATAAAAAATAAAAATAAAAAAACTAGTTCTAGAATAACTCTTATGTTGTTATTTTTGTCCTCGAATATTTTAGAATTTGCTCTTTTAAAATTTCATTTTTTAATGTTAAATTTTATTTTCATTATTTTTCGATTCTTCAATGCTAAGGAGATAAATTTTGTGATATTTTTTTCTTATTCCAAACAATATTATGTTGAGGAGAGAGAATGTTTATTCCTTTTAACTTTGCCCTCATCACTCATGCACATACATGGTGTTGCATATGTCGCCTATACATCTAAGCTGGTTTCAACAAATTTTAACATATGGCTAGATAATATCCATTCAGGCACTGTCCGCCAACACAAACCTGAACAAAACCTTTGATCAAACTGGGTGGAGTTTCAATGATCACAAAAGACAATTTCAATGAAAAAATACTTTTTTTTTTTATTATTTTATTTGTCTTTTCTATAAATATCTAATTTCATTATTGTATAATAATATAAAAAAAAAAGTACATTCTAAAAACTAATGTTATTCAACTCGGCTAGATTTATAATCTATCACGAGTTGAAGAGACTAATTTAGTTTTATTATAAACAATTTAAAATTTCATCACTTTAGTATTTTTTTAAAATAAAAATATATTAAATTAACATTAACAAAAGCTAATCCTACTACTGTGTCTCTTTGCATTGACATTGTTGCTCACGAGCTTGGCTTGTAATTGCCAATTGGGCTAATTTACCTATAATATATAATAGTAAAATGGATGCAAACACAGGCAATTTTACAAATAAAATGATGACTTTTCTTTTACTACATTATTTCATGATAAATGATTCCCTGTACATTTTAAGATTTATTGGCTTCACAAGGGATTGAGTTCTTTGAATCTTGTTGGAGAAAATAGTTATGATTATGTTTTAAAATATTTTCTACTTATAAATATATTAAAAGGATATTTTTTTTTATTTTTAAAAAATTAATTTTAATATTAGTGCATCAAAATAATCTAAAAATATCAAAAAATATTAATTTAAAATAAAAAATAAAATAAAAATTAATTTTTTAAAAAATACTTTTGAAATATAAAAACAAAAAAAAAACTTAATTAATTATAAAATATCTATGTGTATGTTAAATGTTATGTTTGTTTTATTGTCCCAATCTTGAAAATTAAGCGAATAAATAACTATTTTTATGATTCTTTATATTGGTAAAACAAGACTTGGAATTCAAAATTAGGGGCTAGCTATTGCTTTATGCTCAAGTCTATAAAGATTAATTATATTTTTTTTTAACAAAAAAGTCGTTGTTTCATAAGAACACCATCTCTAATATTGATTTTTCTAATTAAAGTGTCACTTGTGTTTTTATTTTTTGAATTTCAACAAGTTAAACCTAATGAGAGTTTAGAGTTTAGCTGAAGCATAACTCTGAGTTTAAAAGAGTATTTGAAAGGATAATAATTATTATTTTTTAGAATATTTTTTTATTTGAAAATTTATTAAAATAATTTGAAAACAATAAAAAATTAATTTGAAATAAAAAATAGAAAAAATTAAAAAAAAATTAAAACGCAGAAATAAATAGACTCTAAAACCATATTTTGTGTTAAAGTTTTTTTTTATTGTTTTGATATATTAATGTAAAAAATAAATTTAAAAAAATAAAATTTTTAATATATTAAAAAAAACCATTTTAAAAAATAAAAAATATATTATGAAAAATGGAACCAGCAAGGAAATACTAATCAAGGTTGGTTAGCTAACTTCCACCATCCATGTCGTTTTTATTTTGGATTTTTGTTCTCAGTTCCGAGTGTGACGATAGCATTAGTACTTGTTATTGTCAGAGAAGATCATATAAAAGGTTTGCTTCTTGACTTCCTTTGTTTCTGCCCCCGCTCAAGATTCATGAAAATGAATCTCTTTAGTTAAAAATTTTCCACTTACACACAATATCAAGACTAATACAGGTCGCTGCGTGCAACTTTTGGTTCTGGGTCTACGTTGACTTAACTTATTTTCAACTTCTTATAAAATAGACTTTGTGAAGTTCTAATAATATTTAGTCAATATTCGCAAAGCTTCCTTGGCATTGAAGTTTTAGATTTTGTAAAATTTAAGTAATCATTTTGTTTGTTGACATTAAAGTTTTGTTCTTTAGCTGTTAGTGTTAGGTGTTTACTTAGTTTATTGCCCGATGAGAAATGAATATCTAATGCATGCTTAGTTTCTTCAATCTTTCATACCAGCACAAGTCATTTTCGCTGAAGTTTGTTTTGCATCTTCTGGGTGCTCAACATTTTTCTGTCATGTTCTGTTAGGTGAGTATACTTTTAGGTTCTAACTCTACTTGAGTGCATCTTTACAAGTTTTTAGTCAATTTTCCAGCGTGTTATGATTAATTGCTTTGAATGTTCTTGAACATTACGTGTTTTCAATTTTTCAGCATACTCTTAGTTTCAATTATACGATAAATTCAGACAAACTTCTGAAATTTTTTAATTGAGTGTAGATGTTTTAGAGGAAGCAGCTAGTTTCATTCCATTGAACGTGGACATGTAGAATTAGGATCTTTCCTCGTGATCTCAATGCGTTTGACAAAATTCTCGACAGAGGAAAGTAATACACCGTTCACTTGTCTGGGAGCTTATAGCATACTTATTGCCTTGCTCCTTATTTGGTTGAGCTTATGCACTTTAAATTTTGAACTCACTCGTTAGTATTATTAGAGAGTATAATGTAAAACAATATTACCTAAAACATCTCCCATAACTTGAATAACTCTTGGGAAACTTTTGGTAATACACTGCGTCCATACCTGTGAAGTTCAACCTTGTAATACGAGCCTGGCCCAAAGGCTGCATTGAATACATGCATCATTGTGAATCCCATAGTGGTCTAAGTCTAACTGAGAAACAAGCGCAAGGGGCACATTAATTGACAAAGTAGAAAACTTGAGTATCGTTAAATATTTTCTTTGAACTGGTATTGTTCTGTGCTTATCAAAGAGACTATATAAGTTGAAAGGAAATGCCACAGAAACTTAGTTGTCTGTGCATTGTACAAGTCAAGATGATGACACCAATGGAAAATGGGAAATGGGAACAATGAGGAAATTGGCTGGATAGGTGGAAGGAACATAGACGGGTCATATGATGATAATATACAATTATGGATTACATCCATTCATTAGTCCAACAGCTGCTCATCAGCAAATGGAGCACTGGATTTTGACATGTGGTGTGAACAGACCGATATTACATATATTTGCTTCCAAGGAGTTGCAGAAATTTTTAGATTGACCACCTTGTTGACATTTGAAATTAATTGAGTTTGAGGGTGACATGAATTATCATGACATTTTTTTGAGTGTCGATTGACAGCAGTATGAATCTATATATTTGTCAATGTGGATGGTTGGCATTCATGCTACTGCTTGTTTCACATTTAAGTGAAAACTTAGGAGGAGTTAGTACTGAGGATAAAATCCAAATCCAAAATGTACAGCTCTTCTGCTGGCAATTCTATGTTATGTAGAAATTTCTTGCGGCCTGGGATTATCCAGGCCAGTTATAAAACCCCGAAAGAGGGAATTGCTTGCAATACAAAGGTACCCCGCAATGTCAACATGGAAAAGTTACAGAGTGCCTATTTGTTTCCTGAGATCTCAATGCGTGAGGCTCAACACATTGAGAAGTACCCAGATGCAAAATTGATAAGCCTTGGAATTGGTGACACCACAGAGCCCATACCGGATATCATAGCTTCAAGCATGGCAAACTATGCACGTTCCCTTTCAACAGCAGAAGGTTATAGTGGGTATGGAGCTGAGCAAGGCAACAAAGCCTTGAGGAAAGCTATTGCTGAAACATTTTACAGAGATGTTCAGGTAAAGGAAACAGAAGTTTTTGTGTCAGATGGCTCACAGTGTGATATTACTCGCCTTCAGCTGCTGCTGGGTTCCAATGTGTCAATAGCTGTGCAGGATCCATCCTTTCCAGCCTATGTAGATTCAAGTGTCATAATTGGTCAAGCTGGTGATTTTGAAGATAAAACTGGGATGTATGGGAACATTCAGTACATGAAATGTCAGCCTAAAACTAACTTTTTTCCCGACTTAGCTACAGCTTCAAGGTCAGATATAATTTTCTTTTGCTCTCCAAATAACCCCACTGGTCATGCAGCAACACGACAGCAGTTGGAGCAACTTGTGAAGTTCGCAAAGGAGAATGGATCAATCATAATTTTTGACACTGCGTATGCAGCTTATATCAGTGATGATTCCCCTCGATCTATCTTTGAAATTCCTGGGGCGAGAGAGGTTGCGATTGAAGTTTCCTCTTTCTCTAAATTTGCTGGGTTCACAGGCATTCGTCTTGGCTGGACAGTTGTTCCTGAAGAGCTGTCCTTTTCAAATGGTTTTCCTGTAATAAATGACTTCAATCGTATTGTTTGCACTTGCTTCAATGGAGCATCAAATATAGCCCAGGCTGGTGGACTGGCGTGTCTTTCCCCAGAGGGTTTTGCGTCTGTGCATTCCATAAT